TGGTGTTCGTTAAATAAAAACCAAAAAGATAGAAATTTTGAATGAACCACAAAAAATTGCGCCGTAGATCGAACTAAAGAGAACTAACTTTATAACACCAAGGTTGCCTATGTAAAAATGGGTTCTATCCCATCTCCTGCTAAGAAAAAATTGTCCGACAATGACAATCGCAGACATTTCAAGACTTTTTTCTTACAGTGAAAATTTTCAAACTAATAAAAATTTTGAGACATATATACTTAACTAGATAACATTGATGGAGGTGTATGAATCATTTCTCATAATTTTCTTTTTCAAATAAACTTGCACCTCCAGAACATGTAACTTTGACGCTCTTTGGAATTTAACAATTTTCATTATTGACATTTTACTGAAAAAGCTATCAGACAAAATGGGTTCTATCCCATCTCCTGCTTAGAAAAAATTTGTACGACAATGGCAATCGCAGACATTTCATGACTTTTTTCTTACAGTGCAAATTTTCAAGCTAATAAAAATTTTGGGGTATATATACTTAACTAGATAACATTGGTGGGCGTATATGAATCATTTCTCATAATTTTCTTTTTCAAATAAACTTCCACCTCTAGAACATGTAACTTTGACGCTCTTTGGAATTTAACAATTTTCATTATTGACATTTTACTGAAAAAGCTATCAGACAAAATGGGTTCTATCCCATCTCCTGCTTAGAAAAAATTTGTCCGACAATGACAATCGCAGACATTTCAAGACTTTTTTCTTACATTGCAAATTTTCAAACTAATAAAAATTTTGAGACATATATACTTAACTAGATAACATTGATGGAGGTGTATGAATCATTTCTCATAATTTTCTTTTTCAAATAAACTTGCACCTCCAGAACATGTAACTTTGACGCTCTTTGGAATTTAACAATTTTCATTATTGACATTTTACTGAAAAAGCTATCAGACAAAATGGGTTCTATCCCATCTCCTGCTTAGAAAAAATTTGTACGACAATGGCAATCGCAGACATTTCATGACTTTTTTCTTACAGTGCAAATTTTCAAGCTAATAAAAATTTTGGGGTATATATACTTGACTAGATAACATTGGTGGGCGTATATGAATCATTTCTCATAATTTTCTTTTTCAAATAAACTTCCACCTCTAGAACATGTAACTTTGACGCTCTTTGGAATTGAACAATTTTAATTATTGATATTTTACTGAAAAAGCTATCAGACTTAAATGGGTTCTATCCCATCTCCTGCTTAGAAAAAATTTGTACGACAATGACAATCGCAGACATTTCATGACTTTTTTCTTACAGTGCAAATTTTCAAACTAATAAAAATTTTGGGGTATATATACTTGACTAGATAACATTGGTGGGCGTGTATGAATCGTTTCTCATAATTTTCTTTTTCAAATAAACTTCCACCTCTAGAACATGTAACTTTGACGCTCTTTGGAATTGAACAATTTTAATTATTGACATTTTACTGAAAAAGCTATCAGACAAAATGGGTTCTATCCCATCTCCTGCTTAGAAAAAATTTGTCCGACAATGACAATCGCAGACATTTCAAGACTTTTTTCTTACAGTACAAATTTTCAAACTAATAAAAATTTTGAGACATATATACTTAATTAGATAACATTGATGGAGGTGTATGAATCATTTCTCATAATTTTCTTTTTCAAATAAACTTGCACCTCCAGAACATGTAACTTTGACGCTCTTTGGAATTTAACAATTTTCATTATTGACATTTTACTGAAAAAGCTATCAGACAAAATGGGTTCTATCCCATCTCCTGCTTAGAAAAAATTTGTACGACAATGGCAATCGCAGACATTTCATGACTTTTTTCTTACAGTGCAAATTTTCAAGCTAATAAAAATTTTGGGGTATATATACTTGACTAGATAACATTGGTGGGCGTATATGAATCATTTCTCATAATTTTCTTTTTCAAATAAACTTCCACCTCTAGAACATGTAACTTTGACGCTCTTTGGAATTGAACAATTTTAATTATTGATATTTTACTGAAAAAGCTATCAGACTTAAATGGGTTCTATCCCATCTCCTGCTTAGAAAAAATTTGTACGACAATGACAATCGCAGACATTTCATGACTTTTTTCTTACAGTGCAAATTTTCAAACTAATAAAAATTTTGGGGTATATATACTTAACTAGATAACATTGATGGAGGTGTATGAATCATTTCTCATAATTTTCTTTTTCAAATAAACTTGCACCTCCAGAACATGTAACTTTGACGCTCTTTGGAATTTAACAATTTTCATTATTGACATTTTACTGAAAAAGCTATCAGACAAAATGGGTTCTATCCCATCTCCTGCTTAGAAAAAATTTGTACGACAATGGCAATCGCAGACATTTCATGACTTTTTTCTTACAGTGCAAATTTTCAAGCTAATAAAAATTTTGGGGTATATATACTTGACTAGATAACATTGGTGGGCGTATATGAATCATTTCTCATAATTTTCTTTTTCAAATAAACTTCCACCTCTAGAACATGTAACTTTGACGCTCTTTGGAATTGAACAATTTTAATTATTGATATTTTACTGAAAAAGCTATCAGACTTAAATGGGTTCTATCCCATCTCCTGCTTAGAAAAAATTTGTACGACAATGACAATCGCAGACATTTCATGACTTTTTTCTTACAGTGCAAATTTTCAAACTAATAAAAATTTTGGGGTATATATACTTGACTAGATAACATTGGTGGGCGTGTATGAATCGTTTCTCATGATTTTCTTTTTGAAATAAACTTCCAACTCTAGAACATGTAACTTTGACGCTCTTTGTAATTGAACAATTTTCATTATTGATATTTTACTGAAAAAGCTATCAGAACTTCAGAAAATTTGTTCTAAAAGTAAATTTGCAGGGCTTCGCACCACTTGAGATACACCCACACAACAAAACGCAGTATTACTTGGATCATCAAATGGCGCAATATAAGACCACTAAGCCGATAACATAAAGACCGAAAAATTTAAACAGAATCCAGTTTTCAAGCAGAAAACAAACTAAAGAATTTACACAAAACAATGTTTGAAAATATTAAACAGTTGAAAAAAATCAAAACACTTAGAACAATTAAAATGTAAATCGCGTGTTGCAAAAACAAACAATTCAACCATGTGGCAACTAAGCCGAAAAAACATAAGCAGACAACTTACAAGCCCAACGAAACAATTCCCGTTGAAAAAAATCACGTCCTGTCAGTTTTGAACTAAGGGCTTTGGCCGTCCCAGGCGTATTAGTTTAGTTTACGACCAGTGTGCCGGAAACAGAAGGAAATTTGAATTCATTAAAAACCAAACCTAAAATTACCATTTCTAATTTGACCATTCTATTAAAAGTTATTTACGGAAAAAGCTTAATTTACGGTTGCAATACACTTGCTATCGCAAGTGTAATAAGTACTGATAATGCCACGACAGTGAAAACCCATCTTAAATGACTACGTCATAAAAATGGCTGAAAATCTGAATTTTATATTACGCTCTTTTAAACTGTTTTTTAATTAAATTTTAAATTAAGTGTGCATTTCCTATCGTCAGTTTAGAAGTTGAACGTAAGTTATCAATTTAGTTCCAGTTTTTATCCAAAGAAAGAAGGCTTTAAGATAGTTTTTCGATAACATTTATTTTTCCAATAATTTCCGAAATTTGGAGCAAAGTGATATTTCAACAACTAAAGCTTGAAAAAAATTCAAAATATATTTTACCGAATCAGAGAAACCATGTTTTTACAGAATACCAAAAAACTAAGATTGGAAACTTTTTAGGCAGTCAACGTTTTTATTTGGCATTTTCAATGTCTCCCACTGCATTTTCCTTCGAAAGGTTCATCCATAAAACAGTGGAGTCTGAAAAGATCTGGTTGGTTAAAGTATCGACACTCAGAAGATGTATTAGTTAAAACAGAGGCGAAGCTGAGGGTTGCACTTTTTGCGATACAAATATGAAGGACTATGATCGAAATCAAACGGAACAAAATTGAAAAAAAAAACTTCAAAAAATTATTTTTGTCTATAAAAAAATTGCAACGAAAGCCCAAAATATCCGGAACAAACTGTCTGCATCATTACAAACTTTAAAAAGAGCTTTCGGAATACAAGAGAGAAACCAAATTTTCATTTCTGCGAAAAACGATAATAATAGACGATAATAAGCAGACCGACAAAAATGTAAATTAGCCCAAATTTTTCTATTTGCAAAAAAACAGAGTCTCAAGCAGTTGTGTTACCTCTAATCCAGACGCGACGGATAGCTGATTGAATTTCAATTCATAATTGCAGAGCGGTAACAAAGCCGAAAATACCTGAGCAGAAACCTTTCATGTCGAAATAAATTCTTTAAATATTCTGAGCTGAATTTTTTTCCCATTTCCCCCTCAGAACACACGCATAAATACAAAAAAAATTTCAATCCCAAAACGCGATAAGAGGCCACTAGGTCGATATAAATTAAGCCGAAACTTATTAGGCCCATAAAAAGACAAAAATTAACAAAAAATTGACAAATCGAGAAAAAAAATTCGATTGGGAGGGATTTTTAAAAGGCTGAAACACTTAAAGCAACTACAGTAAAAATTGTTAACAGCAAACAAAGCGATTTTTAGATGCGGCAACTAAGCCGAAAAAACATAAGCAGTCAACTAATAGGCCGAATTTTTTTTTACTGGAATATTTACCGTTTGAAAAAAAACAGGTCCTAGTCAGATCGTCAAATAAAATTCGAGCTAGCGTCCGTTTAAGTACTTGACAAAACCAATTTTGATCTACGAATTTTTTTTTTCATTTTTCGACAAAAAACGATTAGCAGGTAGGGAACCAATTAAACAAACGGATCTTTTCTGTTATACGGCCCAAAGAGTATTCTTTTTGCCATTTTGAAAGCTTTATGCCATTTTGAAAGCTTTATGCTCCAATCCGATTGGTTGAATTTAATATCAGCGAAAAGAATTCTCAGCGTTTTCAATGAAATCAGAAACTCAATTAACAATTCGATAATTTGGGCCGTATAACATAAAAGACCCAGACAAACAAAATAAACCGAGCGAGTTAATTATGTCACATTTACAATATACAAACCAGAAACGGCAAATAATGTACAAATTTGGATAAAAAAGATTGCGAGCTCTTTTTTCCATCATCACAGATTTGTTTTAAAAATTCAAATACTTCTAACCGACAATAAGATATTCATAACTTCGGAACTAGAGACAAATTTAAGACTCCGCTACACTAAGTTTTATGCTCTTTACAACTGAGTTTTGAACAACGCACTTTGCAACTGCTTTCTCATTTTATCTGCTTCTAGAGTTCTGAAGTATACAGCGTCATCATTTTCCACTAGTTGAGATTGTAGTAGCCTTATATCACTTTCTAATTTCTGTCGCAACTCATTCTTCATTTTTTCCAAAGCTAGCGCTTGCGTTCGGTCATTTATTTCCACCTCTTTCTTCTCGCGTTCAACAGCGTCGGCTAAAATTGCAAACTGATCGCGGTAATAGTTTTCTAGAGATTCAACCTCGTTTTTCTGCTTCTTAGTCCTAGCTTCTCGTTTCTCTCTACAGTATTTCCTGATCTCGGCGATGCGGTTCTTCTGGATCTCTAGGCCTTCGTCAAACAGCTGTCTGAATATCTGCTCCTCCTTGCTCTTTTTCTTTGCCAACCGCGATTTCATTCGAACCTGAATAAAAAAAAAACAGTTACGTGACAAAAAACCAATTTTCTAAAGAGAGATGCTTAGAATGTGACCGCTTATTATCTAAATTCGCAAAAATCGGTTGAACAATTACCTTCGATAAAAAATTTTCTTAATTGCTTTCAAATTGTTTTTCCAGCAACCCCAAATCTTTTAGTGAACTAGAAAGACAAAACTGGCATGTTACCTGGAACTCGTCGTAGTATCGTCTGATCCTGGCCGAGGCCTGCTTCTGTTCTCTCACATTCGTCTTCACTATCGTCTCCCGCTGGTGTTGCTCTCTCCTCTCCTTCATACGGATACTGTGACTCACCTGAAACAAACAATTCTACAATAGAAAACCACAACAACACTATGCAGGTGGAAGAACACTAATCGTAAAATCTCCCCGAAAAACTTCAAAATCCATCTGGAGCAAATACTTTTACAGGAAAACCTGCAATAAATACGTTTCAAACCGTCAGAAAGAGTCTAAGGTCCCCTATATTATACACAAATTTTTCTGGGTGAAGATGAGTTGATTGTTGCAAGCAAACAAAATCTTGCAGACAATATCAATTAATTGATTGCACGAAAAAACTTCTAAGTCAACCAATACCAAATAGCACTTAAAATTTTGTCCTCGGAATTTTATCCACAAAAACCCAACCATAACAAAACTGTTTAAGTCTCACCTCTTTCTTCATGATGTCCATCAGCAGTCCCTGTCTTCGCTCCGCCTCCTTCAACTCACGACCCATCCCCCCTCCGGTTCCATCTGAGAGTGCATTTCTGTCAGAGGAGGAGAGAGTCAGTTTCGCACTCTCCTGTGCCGCCTGAGAGGCCAAATACTGCATCTGTCGCAGCTAAACAGATGTAACTCCTAATCAAGCCTCATTCAGAACAAAAATTCTTCTTGAAAAATCCCTGTAATTCCAATACATTGCAATGACAAAAGTACATCCTGTTTACAAGCTCTCCACCCAATCCTAAAAACAGTTTCTAAATTTCCTCACTAGTTTAGTCAAAAACTCAAAAAAAACATAGCCAATTGACGGTAGGAAAAAGAGTAATGAACGCAAGGAAACAGAAAAAAGAACTGACGTTTTTTGAAAAAACTTCAATTTTTGAATTGAAAGAAAAACATGCACCTAGAGAATTTCGCAAATAATTTATGATTAGTGCTTTTTTTGATTAAATTAACCCAATTTGAGAAAACTGATCAATAGAAAAAAGTATTATTTCTCGGGGAAATCTGAGAATTATAAACCATTTTCGAAATTAGAAGCCGATCACGTTTTTCGTGACCTTTAAATTTGTCCTGTTCGATACTGGAGTTTGCCTTCCTTTAAACAAAAGAAATGAACTGAACTTGCAAAGAAATCAAAAGTTCAATCGCAAAAAAAATCATATTTGAGCGTGAATAATTTTCAAGACTTTTTCCTGAAAAAAAATCACCGAGAAAAAAAATCACCTACCTATGTAAGAGTATTCACTACGTTCATGACTCTTAAAATTTGACTAGAACCATATAAGTTACAGAGCACTAATTTTGAAACATTCTAGGCCCTCAGTGGCGAAAAATCTCGGAACCAAACTCCCCAGAGAACTGCTAATCCGCGCAAATTACCTGTTTCTTCCACAAAACATGCCCCATCTCTTTCGACAATTTCAGCTGGGGAAACTCGTCCAATAGAAAAGAGAGCATCTCGTTTTGACCAATTTCAGGGATACCTTTCGCACCTACTCTAGCGGACCTCGAACTTTCTTGACCTATTTCGGTGCTATTTCCATCTAACTGAGAGCTTCTAGACGTCGAGTTATCTTCAAAAGACTCATTGAATGAGTCTTTAGCTTTTCTGGTTCTTTGGACACTTCTCATAGTTTTCGATTTTCGTGAGCTCAAGCTTCTGTTTCCTGAACTTCTGTTAGCTGAACTTCTAGACGTCGAACCAGGTCTCTGACTGATAATAACTCCTCGAGCATATTTCTTTCTATTTTGACTTTTGTTGTAGTTACTGGTAGTTATTTTGTGGAGAGATTTCAGGTCATTGTGAATTTTGTCCAGCTTGACTTGATGCATGATTGCTTTGTGCTCCTCCGCATGTCTGACTTGTCGAAACGTTTTGGCCAGGTTTCTTTTGAGACTTTCGGTGTTCTCTTTTTCCTAAATAATTACACACATCAAAACTCATCAATTGCCAGATTTTCACCATACAATTTTTTACATCTAACAAAACAAAATAAAATGGGACCGTATTTGAATTTTTCAATATCTTTGAGTTAAAATAACTAATTTTCAGCACCATGGAGATCATGGTAAAAAAAATTTTACCTAGTAATCGAAAACGAAAAAAAATCTGAAAACCTCGAACTCACTCTTTCTGTTTCTTCTTCCAATTTCTCCCTTACATGTCTCCACTTTCCCGATAGCTCCTTTGGAGCACCCCGCAACTCCTCCCCTACCGCTCCAAACTCCTCAAACCCTCCCTTTTCCTCTAGATTTCTATGCAGAGCACCCGAAGCAGACGACATTCCATTTCCACTGACTCGGAATTGCTGCAGCTTTCCCAGAAGTCTTTTACGAATCGCTTCGTATTCTTCCTCGGTTTGAATTCGGTCGATTGCGTCATATTCCGATGAGTTATTATAACTCATCACGCCTTCTCTATTCTCACCTATGTGTCCGATTTGATCTTTACTCACACTTTCTGAGAAGTTTGAAGTATCTGCGCTCACGCTCAAATCTACCAAATTTAGTTTCAAACACTCTGGTTTATATTTACTGTTTTCAGCTTTGAAAACATTAATATCAGTTGTTCTCCTTTCAGACGGTAATTGCTGACCTTTAGCAGATTCATTTCTTGCTGATGAAGACGTAATAACGAGAGGCGGTGGATTCTCCGCCAGAATCGATGCCGAGTTCAAAGTCAACCCCGTAATCGATAGACTACTATCAGCGCCACTTCTAGCCGTTATTTCATTGCCAATACTGTCTTTACTTACATTTCCAGAACCCCTTTTTGGATATAGTCGCTCGAAAACATCCGGCATCGGCTTGGAGGGTTTTCGGTTTGAATTCGTACTTGGTGCCGAAGTTCTAGCGGATCCTTTACGGAACCCTTTGGCACTGCATTGCACTGAAGCATCTTGGCAAGAAGTATTTTTAGGCTCAAAAATTGACTCTATAGGCGATACAGGTCTATTTACAAGTTCGGGTTTATTGACTAAATTGGCGCCTCGGTTGCTATCTTGAACCGCAGCATCTTTCAACTCTGCTTTCAGAGACAGATAATTGCCTTCTACTGTCGTAAACGTATCATTGAAACTGTCTTTTAAAACTACCGGTACCTCCTTTGCTTGTGTACTGGTAGACACCATTTTACTCGTAGTAGCAGTTTCAGTTTTGCTTAGACGAGCTGAATCGTTTAACCGATCTTTCGCTTTTTTCACGTCTCCCTTGTAATCTTTCACGACTTGAAAATCAACTTCGGATTTATGCAGTTCATCATTAGCTTTCGGGTTAATTTCTATGCTCGTTACAGGTCGAGGAAACAGACTTGACCGCGTTGAGTCTTGGATAGAAATGTTTCTCGTTTCAAGCGAAGTGTTATTAGTAGCTTCTAAGTTGTCTCGTCTGAAGCCGGAGCCAGAAATGTTCTCGTAGATTCGTTCGCTTTCGTTAGCTTGAGTCAAGTTTGTCGATTGATTCGATTCGACAGTGCCACCCCATGCATATTTTGCGCCGCGCTCTGAAAAAATTTGAATCAATTGCTATTTTTTCTTAGCATGGCAACTTCCGAGTCTTACCGACAATTTTCGAATCAGGGCAGATTTCGAAAAGATGGCAAGGGTTTTGTACGACCTAGAATTTCAATTCTCTTACTGCCCAAAGAGTCCATATCGGTACTATTTTATAAAATGAAACACAGTCAAGAGACAGTTGGAAAAGAGTCAATGAATCCAAGTAAAAGGAAAAAATACAGACTTAATTTTTTGAAAAAATCTCCTTTTCGTATTTCAACGAAAAAAATAGATGGCCTTAAAGCTATTTGAATTCCTAGAACAGTTCATGATTGACATTTTTCGAAAAAAGTAACTTAATTTGAGAAAACTGGAACAAAAGGTAAAAATTTTTATTTCGCTGGCAAATTCGATAAATGAATTCCACTTTCGAAACTAGAAGTCGATCACCCTTTATGTGACCTTTTACTTTTGCTGATCGATAGTTGAGTTTGCCTAACTTTTAACAAAGGAAATGAATTGAACTTAAGAAAGTCAAGCCAGGAAAAAGTAACTTTCACCCTGAACTAATTTCAAGACCTTTCATGAAGAAAAACAAATCATCGAGACCGATACTGGGCGACATTGAAAAAGCAACAGCAAATTTTTGACACAGAGGCGAAGTTGCACTTCGCAGACACAAGCAAAATATGACCGATAACGCTACTGAGAAAAACTGAATGAGTAAAACAAAATTGCTTAAGTTACGCACGTCAATTATGACTCTACATAATTGCTTTGTGACGCAAGCCAATTATGACGCATTAGCAGTAGTCAATTAAGAAAAAAAAAATTACCGACTAACATGCTTCAAATTATAGAGCGGACGAATTTCAGCTAGCATACGAAAAAGTTCAATAAAACATAGGAGTTCATTAAAACATCCGACCCTGCCCAGGTTCGAGCCCTCTTATTTTGTTGCTGGTCTCCTTCCCTACCTCTACGCTACAGATCCATGCTACCTTGAAGCTAAAATGCTATTTGTAAAATAGTAGTCTGTGTTAATATCCTGAGCATTGGTACCTAATAGCTGGTTATTGATCAAAATGAACACATTTTATCGCACAATATTTGCGTCGCAACAAGCAACAATATTTGCGACTTAGGTTGGAAAAAAAAGAAAGTTCATACGATAACACAAGCTATGCTTGTGTAATAAACCAAGTGTTTTTAAAATAAATAATATCAGAATTTGCAAAATAATGTGCTTGCTGTGATAAATAGCAACCAGAATTGATAACTTGCCTGGAAATTAGGCTTCAGAAATTTTTTTTGACGAAAGTAACGGAAAAAATGGCCTATGTTTTATCCAAATGAATTTCTGGAATAAAATTTCGTACCTTGATTCATTCAGAGTTCTTTTCAAGGCAACAAACCAAATTAAACTGAAGGTTATATCTTAAACATACCTTTTTCACTGGATCAAAACTGGGTTTTCCTGGTTAATTTCGGGCATAATTTGTTTTCAAATTTGCAAGAAAACTCGAATTCAGTAAAAAATGAAGGTAAAACAGTTGCTGAAATGTGATCAAATTTGCTTCAAACGCGTTAGTTTGTAAGATTTCACAGCTTCTTCAACCGTTTTTATTTTGAGAAAAAAGTTATCAAAAAGCTTGCGTTTTCAATGTCGCCCAGGATATATAGAGTCTGAACTACGTTCATCAACTCTTAAATATTGGTTGGCCAAGTCTGAAACCTCTCCGTTGCCAATGAATATTAATTTCAGGTGACGTTTTGTTGGTCAAAACCTTCGAAAAACCATGGATATTAACTTTGGCATAGTCAACAAAAGAGTCGGCGACGATGAAACTTATAAAAAAAAGAGCCCAGGATTGAACCAAATCTCACTTGATTTGCCGGGCGACTGCCTGTCATTGGCCTGTTCTGTCACACTGAATGGCCTGTAGACTGTACTAGCACTGTCTCCATGGTCACTCACAGCGCCAGCCGAGTTCATGGACAATCTGGCCATCAACATTTTGTCCTTTTCACGTCCTAAAAATAGTCTTTTCAAAGTTAAATCAATGAGAATTGCTCAATAAAACATAGCTAGCAAACAGGTCTGGAAAAACCGAAAAATTATTGATTGTTTTTGTAAATTTTGAATTTTTGAAATTTTTAAAATTAAATTCCAACTAAATTCAGCCCTCCAGCGCTATATTTTTTCAATACTATGGCTAGGACAATTAGGAAATTTTCTATTTTTCTTTAATATTTGTTCTCAATGCAAACCGTTATTTCTGTGCTGACCTTGATGTACTGACATCACAACATCTCAGATATCTCTATACCACTATTTTTACTTCGTTTTTAATTTTAACAGCACTTAAAAAAACTACATACCTATGTCTCCATACGCACTGCTGCTAGCTTCATCTTCGTCGTTATCAGTCAAGACCGGGTGAACTCCCGTGAATTTACTACTCGTTTCACTCTTCGCACTTCTACTTGAAAACGGTTCCTCAGTCAGGAAATCTCCGCCCGCTGACGTCCCAAAGGAGGTGTTCGGAACAATCGGTCCTCTGTTTCTGGCATCGCCGGCTTCGTTTAAATCCCAGAAAGCAGGCGCGTGTCTAAGGTGGTTGCTGGCGTTGGCCATGACTAGGTCGGGCGATGTGATTGCTAATGGCGAGAGTTCTTTTGAGAAACCAAAACTCGGAGAGGCCACTGAAATACGAAAGGTATAGTTTTACAGAAATTTGAAAATTGGGATGGGAAATTATTTTGAAAATTGTGGGTTTCAACAAAACTATCATTTGAACTTGAGCGCTAAATATTTCCTCAAGCTAAGTATAGCAAAAAGAAGACCAGTCACTGGGCTAAGCATGGTTGCACAGTTATTGCATGTAAGATCCATGCCTATTCGCTGCTTTGAGAAAATAAGCTAGCATTGGTGATTTAAATGCAGCATGATGAGAAACTTTACACAACAGCATGTTTTTGTTGATGTTCTCGACCATCTGTGAGCTAGTTTTAGAGCTTGCATTCTTTGAAAAACGCAGAGTGGATTGAACTAGTCAATCATTAAAGGAATGTCGCTTTGGAAGAGTTAGTATATGAAATATTCCACATGTGATTTTTAATCACTTAGAAAGGTAAGACGGTAAGACGATAGAAAACGAAAACACTAGTAGCCTAGCTAAAACTGAGGGTACCTGTTTGATAATTTTTAAGTTCACAACGTAATCGCTTTTGCATCAAAAAATCTTCCAATCTGTCTGTTCATTGAACCCTTAACCTTCAAGATTACAAGAAAATTTTTGAAAAACTGAAGTTTTCCAAAAACAGTCAAAAATTTTACTTTTTCCAAGTCCATAGCGGTTTGTTTACTACAGCAGACGAGTAGCCTCTAAAACAGGGAAGACCCACAACAACTTTTTTCAAGTCTTATATCTCCAAATTTACAGGAAAGCTTTTGAGAAATATTAATTAGTCAAAAAACTGTCAACAATTCAAAAATTGGACTTTCTGTGTCTAAGCTAAGATTAGGAATAACAATGAAAGCAAGGAAGATTCTCTAGCCCGTTTAATTGATTGAACCCGTAATGGATTTTTCCCAAGACCATGACGATTTTTTCTAATATTCTATAAAACACGAAGGCAAAGCACAGCTTCGCACCGCTTGCGATCTAACATGAACACATGAAGTATGACCGATAACGCTACTGAGAAAAACTGAATGAGTAAAACGTTGAGTCTACAAAATTTCAGAAGTGACGCTTGCCAATTATGTATGAGTCTACATAATTGCTCAGTGATGCAAGCAAATTATGACGTATTAGCAGTAGTCAATTTGAAAAAAATAAGAAATTTACCGACTAACAAGCCTAAAATAATAGAGCTGACGCATTTTAGCTGGTATATGAAAAAAAATCATTAAAAACATCCGACCCTGCCCAGCTTCGAACCCTCTTATTTTGTTGCTGGTCTCCTTCTCTACGCTACAGATCCATGATACCTTGAAGCTTAAGTCTGTGTTAATATCCTCAGCATTGGCTGCTCTTAATAGCTGGTTATTGATCAAAATGAACACATTTTATCGCACAATATTTGCGCCGCTAAAATATTTACAACTAAGGTTGGAAAAAAGAGAGTTCATACTATAACATAAGCTTTGCTTGTGTAAAAAGCAGTGCAAGCTAGCAAAAAGGAAAAGAAAGCGGAAAAAGGAAAAGAAAGTCCACAAAAATTCAAAAACTTCAAAAAACCACAACTGGAAATAATTCAAATGTTTGGAATCAAGTTCGTCGCGGAAAACACGTCGAAAAACACAATCAATAGCAACTAATAAAAATTCAAAACAAAAATTAACAAGCGGCAACTGAGCCGACGAAACTTTCCCGTGAAACCGAAAATATAATTGTTGTGATGAAAAATTTTTGACTATAAGTTCTATTTTTTTTCGAAAAATTTTAGTATTTTGTGCGATCCAGGATGAAGCATAAAACTTATGACTTCCTTAAAATGATCCGAAATTAGGTCACTAAGCCGAAATCATTCAAGCCGAATACATTTTTTATACAAAAAAAAACAGCAAAAAATACAGGTCAATTCCTGTAAAATTACAACTTGCCGGATCAATTCAAAACAATAAAAGCAACTACATTGATAATTGCCGAGCAAAAAATTACTTCTACGATGTGGTAATTAAGCTAAAACATAAGCAGACAAACTGTAGGCCGAAATTTTTTGGAAAGGAAAATTTCCAGTTTGAAAAGAAAATCAGTTCCTGGTCAGATTCCAATCCTTGGCCGTCCCAGGCGTAATCTTCACCTCCAGGCTTAGTGCCGCAAACGCATAGAAGTTAGAATTCAAACAAGGATACAAGTGATTCTGTTAAATATGTTGTTAACCAGAAAAAGTATATTCCAGATTGATAACGCTTGCTAATCACAAGCGTAAAAAATATGGAATTAGCCACTTAAGCAATAATAATCACGCGATCAATTTCTTCGATTGAACCTGTCCATCTCAGATTGCCAGGATAGTTTTCGAGAAAAGCTAAAAAGTTTCCAAAACAAACGGTCAAAAGATAACGTAATTTTTTCTCCAAAAACTAGGGGCCCAGCTGAAAGCTGGAGAGACCTGTTTGATTATTTTAATATTGATTATTTTAAAATTGTTTTAAAATTTCAGGTTTCTCAAGTCGATACCGCCCTTCCTACGCAAAAAAAAGTGAAAGAGAAGCTTATGCATTCATTGGTAACGCTTTGGTAAAAAGTTTTCATGAGGGAACCTTTCAAGTCCATAACTTTTCAAGAACTAGAATTAAGTGAAATGTGTGTTTCACAAACCAGCTAACATTAATGAAATAAAGTATTTTTCATTTTTCTAACGACTCTTTAATTTTCGAATTAATTAAATTTTGTCCAAGCATTGCAAATATGACTATAATATGTTGACTACAACTGACATCACAAAAACGTTCTGGAACAAACCGACCTGATTAAAGAGAACTAGCGTAACTCGTGCAACTTCTCGTTGGACTTCTTCGAACCATACAAAAAAACTCAACACAAAGCCAAAAGCACCAAGCAAAAGCGAGAAAACGTAAGCATAGCGGATTCCATTGTCTAAAAAATACACACAATAAGTATATTGAATCTTTGTTCCAATGCCAAAAAACTTTTAAAAAAACTTTTCCTAAGTGTACAGCTCTTCCCCGAGACAAATTAAGGACCAGCCGCTTGGGCAGGGGAGTTTCCTACAACCTGGTCTATCGACTAAACCCTTAATCCCAAAACTGGATGGGTAGTTTTTGAAGAAATCGAAAAAGTTTGAAAAAATGGCCTAAAAACCGAAAAATTGACTATTCCTAAGTGTATAGCTCTTCCCCTAGACAAATTAGGGACGAGCCGTTTGTGTAGAGGGGGTTCCTACAACCTGGTCTATCGATTAAACCCTTAATCCCAAATCTGGACGGGTAGTTTTTGAGGAAATCGAAAATTTCCGAAAAAATGGGCAAAAAGTGAAAAAAGTACCGAGTTGTGAAGCTTTTCTAAGACCGTAGGGGGTGGGGTAGGGTAAAAATTGCCCTAAATTTCATGCAGGCAGGTAGGTGAAACGCTACTGAATCCATTGGTACCACTTTTATGAGAATCTGACGGGTAGTTTTTTGGGAAAGCGAATTTTTCGAAAAAGCGTCTCAAAAAAAAAAAAAAAAAAAACCAGATCTCATTCATCTGGAAAAAAAAAAAACGTTTTCATAATACCTGTTTAATAAATCAAACAGGAATTAAGGTTCAGTCATAATAATTTCTTCTCCGAAACTTAGGGTACAGCCGATTATGCAGAGAAATTACCACACCCGCTCACTTGTGATTGAACCAATTACATCAGAATTCGCGAAAAAGTTTGAAAAAAAAAAAATCCCAGAAACGGTCAAACGTTCGATTTTTCCGAAGGCCATAACTTTTTTCAGAAAATTGATCTTTCTGTGTCTAAGCTAAGATTAGGAGTAACAACGAAAGCAAGGAAGATTCTCTATCCCGTTTGATTGATTGAACCCGTAATGGATTTTTCCCAAGACCATGACGATTTTTTTCTAAGAATCTATAAAACCCAAAGGCAAAGCAGAGCTTCGCACCGCTTGCGATACAACATGAACACATGAAGTATGATCGATAACGCTACTGAGAAAAACTGAATGAGTAAAACTTTGAGTCTACAAAATTTTTGAATTGACGCTTGCCAATTATGAGTCTACATTATGTAGGATACATTAAACGCTTATGTAGGAAGGCTTCTCACATGCTGTTATTTCGATTAAACCCTGAATATCAGATTGAGCGTGGTAGTTTTCAAAACTCAAAAATTTGCTGCTCATGAAAGGTAGATTCCTGCAACCTGTTCTTTCATTTGAACCCATAACTTAAATTTGTCAGTATTGCTTTCGAGAAAAATCAAGTTTTCAAAAAGCGGTCAAGAACTCAAAAAATGGGTACTTACTAAGGCCACAACTGTTTGTGGAAAAAACATTGGACGTAACCTCTCTTCTACAGGAGAGCTTCTAGTAGCCTGTTCCTCCATTTGAAACCCTCGTCTCAGACTTGGCAGGGTAGTTTACGGAATAGAAAAATCCAAAATATTGTGTCAAATCCCCCCCCTTTGTCTTAGTCTGTTAAATCAAAACACGTGACATTAAAATCCTTGACATCAATAAAAACAAAAACATAAACAATGGGAGTCTTATCTCATGGGTTGGGACATTACTCTCCATGCTATGCAGCCCAACTTACATCTCATGTTGGCATCCCCTCCTGCTGATTTGACCTCCCTCGACACCACTCTTTTACTCTTTCCTTTCGTCTCTGATCTTGTGTCTAGCTCATTCACGTCTCCTCTAGACTGACCCAACCTGTTATTTCTCTCGTTCAGATTCAGAGAGAAGTTACTGGTTAAGTACTCGTTAGTTGAACCCTCTTCACTGATTGCATTCAGACCTCTCCCAGTCACTATGTCTGGGTCGTTGAGTAGATCTGCTCTCTCGGTTGACACGTTGGTTATCTGAGAGACGTTGTGGTCTAAACATCTGATAAATGTAATTTCCCAAAAAATCAAACCTACTCACTTCAAAATCAGCTTTGAAACAGCAAAAACAACAATTAAATGACTTTCAAAGTGGCGGTAGGATACGATGAAAATCAAAAATTTAGAGCACATGTAATTTTTTAGATTCTTCAGAAACATTTTTCAGCTCTCAAACTTTTTGGCACATAAACGGCAACTCGAACTACCGAATACTGCCATCATATTAGCAAATTATAGAACGTATAATATATTTCACTTATTAGATTTCTGAATCCATTATATAGCAACACCCATTGTATACCAACATCCATTATATAGCAACACCCATTGTATACCAACATCCATTATATAGCAACACCCATTATATACCAATATCCATTATATAGCAACACCCATTATTATATCTATTCGGCACGGCTTTTACACCCTACCTACGGACAGATATTCGGCCACTCCTGCGAATATCTCCAGCAAATTACAGAGTGCCTGTCTGTCCCCGTCCACCACAGCTTCTCCTGTAATGTGACTCAGGTCAATGTTGAGAATGTCTATAGCCAGAGAGTCTATCACACACTGCACATTGTGGACGTTGTCTTCTCTTGAATGGGGCATTTCTACTTTCTCTTCTAGCTTACAATGCAGAACATTCTCGAACACTAACACGAACATATCTGCAGTGAAATCGTCCAGTGATCTGAAAAAAAAAATGTTTTGTTGCTGCTGTTTACTTGAAGTATAGGTGAAGCTAAGAAACTGAATTGGATCATTTTCAGCGTATTTATGTCCTCTGAGTTCCCATGCATTTCTATCAACACTGGTGGACTAAACTCCTCAAGGTTTGACCAGCTGCGGCGAAATGGATGACATCTCCCTTCCCCACGGTGGGTCCAGCACGGAGCAGGACCGGGGGCTTATTTAAAAAAAATACATTTTCTCGAAAAGCAGTTGACTGCCTTTTCGAAAGTTTATCCCAAAATAGCAAACAACAACGGAACCAAAAAAGCGAATTATTTTTCACGCATTGAATTGAATTTTAAGATTGCTGAGAAATTTGAATCTCCGTAATTAGATATTCGACTCCGACTAAAAGCAAAAGATAGTAACCTGATCTTGAAGGCGATTCCGCATTTGGACAGGAGACTGTTGGCCACTTGCAGGAAGTCCACCAGCTCATTGTCCAGGGTCGAATTGTAAACTACCATTATTCTAAACTTACTCAAATCATTTCATCTGAAACAAGTAAAATCTCAATTGTCTTAGTCTGTAAAAACTGAAAATAAAACCATGTAGTAAAACTTTGTAAAGAATTAAATCAGAAAGCGATACCCATTACTGTAAAAAAATAATGCAACGGCTAAGCAGTGAACTTTTTACCTAGTTATGAATTTGCCCTTTGGCAAAATCCGGGAAATAGTCGAAGTCCTCCTAGGTATATTTGATTCTTTAGCCTAAATTTAGCAAAAAAATATCCCCGAGTGCAACCAAGTTAAAATTTACTATAACAGGGCAATCGTTTTACAGAAACAACGGGCAATGGAGCGACATCAACTAGTCCAATAAGTCAATTTCACATTTTTGGGGAAAACTAAGAAACTTGCTTGGGGAAAAATGGAGGAGACATTTTTTGTCTGGACACTTTTATGCTTTACTTTTTTGCCAGTATATGGAGTATTTTTTTTAAAAAAGAGTTTCAAAAGGAATCAAAATTCAACCGGCAAAATAGATAAGTATCCGTAACAACTTTGAAATCTTTCCTTATAAAACCAGACTAAGTAAGTGAACCAAGAAGTCTATCAAAACAAGAAGTCTATTCGAAACAATAAATCTATCACATTTTTTCCTCTACTTTTTCTGGTCGTTAGTACAGCGCTGATTTCAATTTTCCAGAAAAAATAAAACAAAAAAATTTAAAACACGTTTTTCTCAATTTTGGTTGACTGTAGACAAAAATTGATAATGACAAAATTTGATCAGAGTTTCAGCAGAACTAATATGGTTTAATTTAATGCCAAATTCGGTCCAAAATTTAACCCCAAAACTACCATTTTCGGCGTTTTTTAGTCAATCAAAAACTACGCCAAAACTATTCTTTCAATTGCTGACAAAATTATATCAGAGTAAGCTTCTTACAAAACCCAACAAAATTTTGAAGAGTATAATCGTCTCAATTTGTATAATTAAATTTATTTGGAAAAAAAGTCAGTTTCACTATATAAAGTACCAATTTTTTTAATTTAAAAACAACTTTTAGACGTTTGCGCCAAGTTTTGAAGATTATAGCCTTGTAAATTTTTGTTGGGTTTTGTAAAAGGCTCACTCTGATATAATTTTTCAGCAACTGAAAGAATTGGTTTATTTTCTGATTGACGTAATTTTTCATTGACTAAAAAACGCCGCAAATAGTCATTTTTGGATTAAATGTTTGACCTGAATTTTGTAAAATAAATATTATTTCTGCAAAGTTTCTTAGCAAGTTTTGTCATCAAGATTTTTTCTTAAGTCAACCCAATTTGAAAAAGAAGCGTTTTAAATTTCAAATTTTATTCGTTTTTTTTTCGGATAATTTAAATCAGCACTGTAAAGCTTGACTTCATTTTAGTTAAAAAATGAATTGAACGTTAGAAGAAATCAAAAGCCAAACAGCTTAAAATCATATTTGAGCATGAACAGTTTTCTGAAAAAATTCGAAACATCCTCATGACCGTAAGTGACAAACACTTCGTCATGTAAGTGACAAACACTTCGTCATGTAAGTGACAAACACTTCGTTCTCTTATACTTAAAAAAGGACCCCTGAGTTGGTATCTGTCATCTCAACTGATCCATAGGATCCAAATGACAAGCAAACTCCGGCCACCAATCAAGCGTGAGAAAACTTCATTTAGAAATATAGATAAGAAATAAAGCGGGGTAATAATTTCCATATAGAAATAGAGCACAGATACAAAATACAGCACTTTAGTTGAGCACTAATTCAAGCAAGTTGGAAGGTGGAAAAATTTCGTGAGATAACAGTCGTTTGATTGTGTAACAAATTGTTACATCAGAGTGAAATTCCTTATTTCATCGTTCCCTCGCCGGAAACAAAATTACCACAATATCAAACCTTGTTTTAGCACAAGTCTTTTGAACTTTCTTAGAACGACAATCAATTGAACGATCTGTAATATGATAGCTCACTCAAACCCAATCGAGTTTTTGTAGGTATCTAGAATAGGGTACAAAAACACATTTATCATTTTGAAGCTTAAGAAGGTCTATAACTATGATTAACTTGGTTTGATAAAAAACATCCAGATGAGAAAAGGTTTCCAAGGGCAGTAGTATTGCGCAAGGAATTTTCAAAATTCAGATTCACTTTCAAATTGAAGTTCATATTAAAGCTCTATAAATTTCAAAGTGGAGCTTCAAAAGACAACATCAAACACAGATGCATAATGGAGCTTCGCGGCAATTGCTATTCAAAAACATGTGCCATGTGATAACGCACTAAACATATCACTTGCGATACAAAAATGCAAAAAATTATGACAACATTTTTTCAAATAGCTATTAAAAAAACTGCACTACCTTTCCTATTTTCAAAAAAATATATATATTTATAATAACCAGCTAATCTTTAAATAGTTTAAATCAAAATGTGATTTGACAAATAACACAGGAAACAAAATCAGTAAAAAAAACAGATTTTTTTTTCAAATTTGCAACCATGTAAATATTCATATCGGATAATTTTAGTCATAAGGGTCTATTTATTGCTTTCTTGTGAAAAAGAAAAAAATGGAAATAAAAAAAACACAGAGTCGAAGCGTAGCTTCGCACCACTTGTGATACATCACAAACACACCATTGCCACTTACGCGACAATTTTTTTTTAAACTATCGAAAACATATAACAAACTTTCATACCTTTGTTTTGAACAAGTTAAAGTCACCAAGTCGATATATCACAAGCCAAAACCTTTTGCGCGGATATGAGAGAAAAACAAAATAAAACGATAAAAGAACTATATACTGAAATTGGAGTTGGTTATATTTACAAAAGGCACTTCGTTCTCTTATACTTAAAAAAGGACCCCTGAGTTGGTATCGGTCATCTCAACTGATCCATAGGATCCAAATGCGAAGCAAACTCAGGCCACCAAAAAAGCGTGAGAAAACTTCATTTAGAAATATAGATATGAAACAAAGCGGGATAATAATTTCCATTTAGAAATAGAGCACAGAAACGAAATTAAGCACTTTAGTTGAGCATTAATTCACGCCAGTTAGAAGGGGGAAAATTTCGTGAAATAACAGTCGTTTGTTTGTGTAACAAATTGTTAAATCAGAGTGAAATATCGTTATTTCATCGTTTCCTCGCCGGAAACTGAATTACCACAAATTCAAACCTTGTTTTAGCACAAGTCTTTTGAACTTTGTTAGAACGACAATCAATTGAACGATCTGTAATATGATAGCTCACTCAAACCCAATCGAGTTTTTGTAGGTATCTAGAATAGGGTACAAAAAACACATTTATCTTTTTGAAGCTTAAGAATGTCTAAAACTATGATTAACTTGGTTTGATAAAATACATCCATATGAGAAAAGGTTTCCAAGGGCAGTAGTATTGCGCAAGGAATTTTCAAAACTCAGATTCACTTTCAAATTGAAGTTCATATTAAAGCTCTATAAATTTCAAAGTGGAGCTTCAAAAGACAACATCAAACACAGATGCATAATGGAGCTTTGCGGCAATTGCTATTCAAAAACATGTGCCATGTGATAACGCACTAAACACATCACTTGACAAATAACACAGGTAAAAAAAACCATTAAAATCATTGAATTATGTATACAATAGTTAGAGTTGCAGATAGAATTGACCAGTAAATACCAGTAGCTAAAAATCAATCAGGTCAAGTTCAATCACAGCAGAAGGGCGATCTATACCCGGTTGCCAAGGAGTACTTGAAATTGCATAGCGCATACGCTGGGCCATATTTTTTTCTAACTCTCAAAATGAGGAAAGGCCATCAGAAAACATAGAACACTTTCTTTTAAAACAAATTATAGAATTTTTGTTTTTTAATGTTATTGAACGTTTCCCAATTCGGACTGCAGTGAAACAATCAGCGAAAGTTGCTTTTTATCAATTTTGTGGTAAAACCTGTATGTATAGTTTCCCAATAATGGGTCAAATCTCCTGATGGACTTTTAAAGAGACCGTAAGCAGTGTGAACCACTTCAAAAAAGTTATTCTGACTGAGAAGCTCTCAATCATGACGTACTACAAGATACTGTTTTTAGACATTTGGTTTTCAATCTTTATTGGAGTTACTTGAAAACAAAATCAAAAGAAACACAAATTTATTACACTTCGCTGATGATACACGTATTTTATTGAGGGGTTTTTAGAAAGCATTAGAATAATTGTATGAAAACAAACTTGTTTTCAATGTTAATAGAACATAACTTATTGGTTTTTGGGAAGAGAATAGTTTAAGAGAAGATTAATTATAAAGGAAAAATTTACACAAGAAAGCAAGCCAGGTAACCAGGAGTTTTGAAAACAAAAATTGGACATTTTCAGCAGAATTGAACGAATGTTCCACCAAGATTGCTAATGCGATTAAATCAAAACATTGCGTGCAACCTGTTAAACCAATAGAAACAAGAATTTTGATCTTCAAAGCAATAGTCGAAGACCGCCTAGGTATATTTGAATCTTTAGCCTAAATATAGCAAAAAATATCCCCGAGTGCAACCTAGTTAAAATTTACTATAACAGGGCAATCGTTTTACAGAAACAACGGGCAATGGAGCGACATCAACTAGTCCAATAAGTCAATTTCACATTTTTGGGGAAACTAAGAAACTTGCTCGGGGAAAATAAGGGAGAAACTTTTTGTCTGGACATTTTTATGCTAACTTTTTTGCCAGTATATGGAGTATTTTTTTAAAAAGGAGTTTCAAAAGGAATCAAAATTCAACCGGCAAAATAGATAAGTATCCGTAACAACTTTGAAATCTTTCATTATAAAACCAGACTAAGTAAGTGAAACAAGAAATCTATCAAAACAAGAAGTCTATTCGAAACAAGAAATCTATCACAGTTTTTCCTCTGCTTTTTCTGGTCGTTAGTACAGCGCTGATTTCAATTTTCCAGAAAAAATAAAACAAAAAAAATTTAAAACACGTTTTTCTCAATTTTGGTTGACTGTAGACAAAAATTGATAATGACAAAATT